AGCAAGTGGGTGTGTGGGGGGGGGACCTGCCTGACAAAGGCGGAGACCATATGGAAAGTGTAGGATAAGCGGAGGGAGCTGAAGGGAGGGCAAGGGTTAAAGGGGACGGTCCCGTCTGTCATTCTGCCTGAACTTGCGGGGCTGTCGGAGGCTCCCGAGTAGATCGTTTCTGTGTTTACAGCGGGGCGCGCCCGCCTCGGGAAGGCGAACCGCGAGGCATCTGTCCCCTCCCGTGCCCGCCGCCTTCCTAAAACACACGCGCGCAGACCCAGGAGAGGCTGGCGAGTGGCACGGCGGGGCCGGGCTCCGGAGGACGGTGCTCCCGGCCCGCCCGGGTGTGTTTAGAGAACACGCGAGGCGACCGGCGTGCGTTTCTCCTGCGAGGCGGGGATGTTTTACAAAGGACTAAAGAGGGACTGCTGAGAGGAAAATCGCCGGCTTTAGATAAAGCACCATAACAAAGCCTGGCGGTTTTATGTATCATGGTGTCCATTAAAGCTTAATAGGGACGCGTCCACCCAGCCGCCGGGCGCGTGTTCTTCACGGGGAGGGGAGCGTGGCGGGCTGTGCGGAGAAGTCAAGAATCGGGAGGACGTGATTGTTCAGCGTCTGAAAGGGCCTTTTTCTTTTTTTTCCGGGGGAGATTTTGTTTTCATTTCCCAGGGATCTGTACGCGAGAGGGGAGAGGAAGCCGGCGGGGCTTGGAGGGTGTCAGCGCCGGGCCCGGGGCTGGGCGCGGTGGGGACTGAGAGCGGCCTGCCCCGCGCTGTGCCCGGAGCTGACAATAGGAAGCGCCCGACCCCGTTCCGGACCCTCGCCGGGCACCGCGGGCCGGGGCCGGGAATATGTTTCTGTACTGTCTGGGATGTTCAGTCCAATAAACAAGCGTGGGGGTTTGTGCCTATGGTTTTGTGTTTATTTTAATATAGTTCACAATTATGAGAAGGTGAAGGGAAATCATGGGTTGTGCGCGCTGGGAGGGGGCCAGGTCTACTCTCGATTGTTTTGGCAAAATAAGGGTTAACTGGAACCTGGATGGGGGGGCGGTGAATGAATTATTCAGCATCCAGCATATCATCCGCCTTTTACTTTCTGTTCTCTGGTGCTCTGGAACTTCTGAGAGAGAGAGAAGGGGGGCAAGGGGAGGCCACGGGTGCGATACTTTGCGCACACATCCCGGTGTCATTGTTCTGCCTGGAGAGACGGGGCTGGGTTCAAGGCCACATGTGCTCCTGTCATCACCCACATTTCTGCTTCAAGTGCGACCCGGAGTGTCAGCTCTCCATCTGTCTGGGCTGGCAGGCGCACGCGCCCAGCGCCCTGCCTCGGGCGATGCCGCCCCAGCCCCCGCCGACGGCCCCGCTCATTCCAGAGCAGCAGGCATGAGCCGGGGCGCCCGCCCCTAGGACAGTCCCTTTCCCCTTCCGAGTGGACGCTGCGTCCAGGATGCCTGGTGAGTTAGCCCCGCGCCCTCCCTCCCCCCGATTTTAACCCGGGGCCAGCTCACTTCCCGTCAGCCGTGGGAGATGCCCCCTGCCCCCGGCGTGGGGACCTCGTGCGGGCAGGGGCTGGGGGTGGCAGAGGTGGTAGGTGGAAGGTGGCATCCAGGGAGCCGGCGGGATCCGGATGCGGGGGTACAGGGCCCGCAGCCCTTCCTCCTACAATCCGGGAGGTGTGTTTTCAGTCGCTCTGTTGACTTGAGGGGTTTAGCTCAAGTTGGAAGTATCGTTGCTGCCCTGGGCTTGGCGCCTGTCATCTGTGCCCTGGATCCTGGCGCTTTCGCCCGCCCGCCCGGAGAGTTCCCGGTGATGGCGGACCCCGGGAGGAGGGCTGTTTAAAAAGCCGTTTGCGTGAGGGAAGGGCGGGGGACGCTGTGCAACTGCAAATAACCCCAGTCCTGCCCTAAATCCCAGTCCCTGGATGTCACGGGCAGATCATGGAGATCAGTTCATTAAAAATCAAAACGTCGGCCGAATTACTGACGCTGTGTGGCTCTGGAAATTTCGTGTATGTCGGTTTCCTCTGGGAAAATATTGTCTTTGGAGCCCGGAGTGTTCCTGCCTGTGGCAGCTGCCAGGGAGGCTCTGCAGGGAAGGAGCCGGGAGGAGCGGCGGCCAAGGGTTTCTGCAGCTCTGCCCGGGAGCTGTGCCCGCCGGGGCCGGGCAGGGCCCTCTCTCCAGATGAGGGCAGGGCGCTGGGGCCCCCAGCTGGCCGCAGCGCGTCCCCTGCCTGGGCAGGCCCGGAGGGAGGCTGCGCTGGGTCCCGGGGGGTGTGCCCCTCGCAGATGGTGTTTTGAAACAGTACCTGGCAGCCCCGGGCCGCGGCTGAGCGCAGGTATCGCCAGTCCTTTGAAGACGCTTCTCCCTCAGGGTGCGCCCGGTGGCCCTCGCCCTGGCCGCCCTGCGCCGGAGGGCGCGCGTGGGACCGAGCTGCAGTTTCCCGTTGGCTCGGTAGAGGATTGTGTGTGGCTGAAATAAGGGGGACACGGGTTCCCAGAGAGACAATGCCCAAGGCATTGAAGGGGTCCCTTTAACTTCCGACGCTCTCTCGCCTTTATTTATATGCATCGTGCACCTAAAAGTGTCCTGTGCATCGGGTGTGTGGTGCGGAATGGGTGTGGAAACGCACTTGTGGGGTTTTTATTTCGCCAGAATATTGTGACACGTTCGCCTGACTTTTATGTCATAATCTGACGCTTCTTTGTGTTTATGCTCTTAGTAAATGGGTTAAGTGACCTGATTTGTCAGTATTTTGCAGAATCTGTGTTTTGTTTTGCCAAAACAAAACCCACGATACACCGAAGACATCGGTGGGTGATAATAGGAAAAGGGACTGGTTAGGACCCTTGCTGCCCCTAACTACCAGGCTTTAGAGTCATCCTTAAAGCATCTTTATTTAAAATGCATTGGACTGTATTTGAAGTCTTGGGACCATTGGTGAGTTTTGCTTTGCTGTTGCCAGTTTGTATCTGTCTGGCCCTGAAGCAGGGGCCTGAGGTGTGGGCAGTTTGCTCTCTCCTCTCCCTTCCCCTCTCTCTCATCAACTGTGTTAGAAACCTTTTCCTTGGATGCAGAGAATATATTAACAGCTAGGAGCATGTGCCAGGATGGAGATACTTGAGCAGGTCTGACACTTGGCTATTTTTGACCCCCATCTGCACTTTTGAAACTCCACTATTGGATGGACTATGTTTTTAGCACATTTTAGTCCATACGTATGTAGTTATATTAATGGACAATTTTAATCATCTGGGGCATATTTTATATTTTTAAATAAGACATGATATGTAGAAGATTAAAAGGATGGTTTTCAGATCATCTGATATTGTCACTTTAAAAAATTTGACTACATATGTATATAATACCACTTATTATTAATTATTATTATTATTAATTATTATTATTATTATTGGGTCAGGTGTCAGAACTGGTTCCTGGTTGTATCAAACTTGAAGGAACAATTCTCAGATCTCATACCTTTTTCATAAAAATGGGGATATCTGGAAACAGATATGCACAGACTGGATTTGTTCAAAGACATACCAGTCTGTGGGGGTGGGTAGATACAAAAGTCCTTAGTTTTGGGGCTTTCTAGAATTATTTCCGTTTAAAAAAACACACGCCTTAGCTGTGGATAGCATACTGATCCAAAAATGAACTAGGAAACGTCAAAGGAGGCCATGCACGCTTTAAAGAAATAAATCAGATGATCTTTATGATTTAATTTGGTATAAGAAGCTGTCATCTCACTGCCTGTCACTTTGTAATAACTCGGTCCTGTGTTTAAGGAGAGAAAATTGGAAGATGTGTTCTCATGAGAAGGCTGGGAGAGCTTGGGCATTGTGCTGTTTCAGGATCTCCAAGCTTTCTGAAACATTTATATTTTTAATCAATCTTTGTATAATATTATCAGAGAACATATGTTGACCTACAGAATGCTTTCCGGACTGTTTCCTTAAAAGGACAGTAAGCGAGCACAGCCCGTGTAGCTCAGAAAGCCTGCTGCTCTTTCAGAAGATGGTTAGCATTAGGCCGGACCACCCCTCTCAGTGGCCCTGCGCTCCAGATGTGCATGGAACTTTTCTTTAAGTTCAAGTTTCAAAAAAAAAAAAAAGAGAGGTTTGTTTTCAAAATCTGGTTTTACTTAAGACATCTCCATTCTGGAGTGCATTTCATAAATTGCCCACATATTTTTCTTAGCAGAGAACTTAACTGGCTGTAATTTTTAACACATGGCCACATCATGTGATATTTTCAAAACACTTACACTAGCTCTAAGAAGGTCCCTGCAGAAACCATCCATCCTCTCACAGCCGGCCCGTTTCTTAACAGCATATCTGCATTTTCCATTTAGTAGAGCTATATATTATTAGCTTACATTTTTAGGTAGTAAAACAGTGCATTGCCGATTGTAAAACATGGACTTTATTATCTGCTGAAAATTGATTTGGCATTTATAGCCACTGTGTACTAGACTGTTTTTCTGTTTTTAACATCAGTGCTCGCAAGCGATGATTTGTGTAAAAAACAGCAATGAAATTGCCATGGATCGACAACTGTTAGTGTCCCTAGTAACCGAGCATTTGGATAATGCACCTGGTTATTATTTTTTTTTTTTCCCTTAAATAGAGGCATCTAAATGCTCTTACACAAGAACAAAAAACACAATAGTTCATTCACTGTCGCTCTGTTTTACCCTGCAAGTTGGTTTGCCATTGTAAACCAATGTTGGTTTGCTAATTCTTCAAACAAGCCTCCTGCCAGCTATTAAAAGAAAACTATATATGCTGCAAATATCCAATTATAAGTGTAGATTATGTGAACATTACTTCTTCATAGCAGACATGTAGATTTTCCAGCTTTTCTCCAAAATCTGGCACCCTTTCCCTTTTTCTTTTAAAAATTAGTTCCTGTAAATATTTGGGAGCACTTGACCTTTTAGTTCTGTATTTTAAATAACACTTGGAAACTTTCTCAAGGCATCTTCCTGTGTAGTTAATGACCAAGAGGTAAGTGTTTAATCTTTTGGGGAGGGTGATAATTTGTGAAGTTTTCATAAGACAACTAGTTTGTTTTTATTTCTTACAGTCGACATTCACTGAGTGGGCATTATATAGTGTAGAAGTGTTTATTAACCATCTCAGCTCCAGTGATATTTGATGTTTGCAAAGGAGATGCCGTAATTGCAATTTCTGAGCAGCCTTCTGAATCGTCAGATGAACTCATTCGTTTAGAGCTGGAAGGTTTATCTTGCAAGTGCTTTTAGTTTACAGTTGAAACGGAAGCTCCTAGAGGTTGAGCAACTTGCCCAGGTGGTTCATGAAGGTGGGGAGTTTCCGCAGTTCATCCCGTTACCAGGCCTCTTCTGACTCTCATGTGCACATGACGTCACATCACTGTGTTAGTGTCGGGCTTACTTTGCTGTCTTTTATGTTCTGCCCTGGATTGCTTTTTCCATAGGTTTTCCCACCTCTCCTCCAGGACCGCAGAGCTCTGTAGGAGAAAATTCCGTTAACAGTAATCCCTTGGCCTCTGGCAAAGGTGTGCCTACAAGTGTCTCTTTTAATTGTTTGGGAATTAGAAAGCCTCAGTGTGGTTACTTACCGGAGTGTTAAGCAGACCAGATGAAGTAAAGCTCCCTGAAAGGGTACTGCAGTAAGGAAACTCAGGTTGCGGAAAATGTCCCGGGTACAAGATAACTGTGATTCAGCCGGTCCCTCCAGGCCCTCAAGGCGTTTTGGGTTCTAGTGCTTCCGGCAGAGAAGTAAACAGTGATTATTACACAGAGTAACTGGAGTCTGAGCCTGGAGATGGGCAAGGAGCCCGGGGCGAGGTGGTACCTGACTGGGTCAGGAGTCAGGGACATGGGGCGGAGGTGGGGAATGGCCCTGCCAAGGCCTCACCTAGGAGAAGCCGTTCCAGACATCACATTAGGGGTGAGTTAATTAAATGTTTGACCAAGTACAGCAGGCTAATGTTTAAGTTGATAATTTTGTATGGCCCACCAATGACGTTATAAATATCCATATGGCCCTTGGCAGGAAAAGGGTTCCCCACCCCTGACATAGGGGGAAGAGAGGACCATGGGCCAGTGTAATGCTTATGAGAACATCTTGCCTGGTTCCTACTTGCTCCAGATTGGATCTCCATTAATGTAACTTAACGTTTTCTAGTTTGTTTTTCTTGTACTGAAGACAGGACATGCATTAGATTTTATTTTGTGTGACCAATTTTAATTAGTGTGACAGTGGGTGTAGCATTTCTTAAAAGTAATGTGTGCAGTGCGGTCCTTTGGTGAAATAAGTCATTAACTGAAATGACTCCTAACTTGAGTACAATAGGATTTTACACCTGACCAAGAAGCAGGTTTCTCTGGCTGGCTTCCTCAACCAGCTGTTTGCATTAATTAATATTGATGTAAATGTACTTTCTGAGAATGTCTAGCTTAATTATG